ATATGTAGTGTTGAATAACTATCAGCAAAACCATGCAGGAAGCACCACACCGTCGACGGTGGGTAGGGCAACGCTAATTCCTAGAATGTGAGATCATTTTTTTCACCTGTGCAATAACAGTAACACATATTTGAAATAGCTAGTCTGGAGAGGTAGATGCAATAGTGTGATAGTATGGGCAGGCATGACTAGCAGTTACTCCATCATGGAACACCATCAAGGCCCTTGTAGAATGGAGTGTCAGGTGAACATTGAGGTTCATCACCATGTGGGCGTGAGTATGTTTCTGATAGTAAAACGTTCAAACATAGCAAAGTCTCGGTGTCTGGAGAAATCAACAATCCATACGAAGAATATTAATTGGGACAGCTAGTTCACGGGACCTCAGATTCTTTGTCCTGAAGAGGTGGTTAGTTCATAAAGTGCTTGTGTTCACCTGAAATGCAGTGAGCTTGTCACAAACGGATAAAGCATGAAGCTAGCTGCATCTTTTGGCCAAGTGGAGTAAACAACATCTTTCTTGGCTAATTAGCAACAAATGCTACTGCTTACAGTTTGCAAGTGTGCGACAAACCCTTAATACGGGCCTTAACTGCAGTCTTGATGTCACTCACTGTCGAGGGCGTTTTCTCACCTGTATTGGCCACATAGTGCAGAAAATCGACTAGCTGAGGCATAAAAGAACATAATGAATTAATGTGTATAGAGTTAAAGACCAGGGGATCTGGTATGAAGAAATTGAGCTTCTGAAAAGTATTCCATATATGAGGATGACTTGTGCGGGACAGCCAGCAGCTTTGGATCATTAGGTAATTACTGAAGTTGGCCCACAAGTAGGAACATTAACACATTGCCTGTCAAAAGCTTCCAAATATAATAGAAAGGAATAAACAACGTCAGTAAGCAATGTGTTAATAGGTCTATGCCTGGATCAACCACAATTGGTTTATCAAAGACATTGAGGTCTCCCATTGATATTAATTTAGGTACCTATATGTATGATAAAGCAATCAAGCATGTGATATTCAACAGAAGTAGGAAATATCACGTTTTACTGATTTTGACAAAAATATGCAACATCAACGTCGAAATTAGAGAATTAAGGATATAATCATCTGGGTTCTAGTTAGAGTCCCAACAGCACCATGGCAATCCTGTTTAGAATATGCCACTTGGTGCAATCAAACCTGTTTTACGTTATTCTCTTGATGTCACTGCACTGAAGGTCAAAGGCCTGTGCTGGAACCACCAAGTCAGTTCTCCC